TGGTGCCACCTTACACTCCACAGCAAAATGGGATTGCAGAATGCAAGAACGGAACCATCATGAATATGGTGAGAAGTATGCTGAATGGAAAGCATCTACCTAAAGAATTATGGGGAGAAGCAGTTTCGACAGCAACATATATATTGAACATATGTCCGACGAAGAAGCTTGAAGGAATCACACCAGAAGAATCTTGGTCTGGTGTCAAGCCTAGTCTCAGTCACTTGAAGGTGTTTGGATCTATAGCACATAGACATATGCCAGATCAGTTGAGAAGGAAGCTTGATGATAAGTCGAATCAGATGATTTTGATAGGGTATCATTCGACAGGAGGGTACAAGTTGTTCGACCCGATGAATAAGCAGGTAGTGATCAGCAGGGACGTGATCATAGATAAGCTTAAAGAATGGGATTGGACTGAGAGTGCCCAGAAGGATTCAGTGAGAATCTCATGTGAAGAACCAGCCACTGAAGTCGAAATAGAAGTTCGATAGGAACCAGTTGCAGATGAAGCAGGTTCAAGCAGACCTCGACGAACAAGACACATGCCTGTAAGGTTGCAAGAATGTGTAATTACATCAGATGATGTAGCCGATGAAGAGGGTGAGTTGGTACATTATGCTTTCTACGCAGATGTCGAACCAGTCAATGTAGCTGAGGCATTGAAAGATTCGAAGTGGATGAAAGCATTGACTGATTTACCTTCACCAGGTATCATTAACTTCGATGGACTCCAACTCTTCATTCATTTCTTTCACCCACTACGAATCTTTCAATGCCTCAGCTGCATTGACTGGTTCAACATTTGCGTAGAAAGTATAATGTACCAGCTCACCCTCTTCATCGACTACATCATCTGATGTAATTACACATTCTTGCAACCTTGCAGGCATGTGTCTTGTTCGTCGAGGTCTGCTTGAACCTGCTTCATCTGCAACTGGTTCCTGTCGAACTTCTATTTCGAATTCAGTGGCTGGTTCTTAACAAGAGATTCTCACTGAATCCTTCTTGGCATTCTCGGTCCAATCTCATTCTTTAAGCTCATCTATGATCACGTCCCTACTGATCACTACCTGCTTATTCACTGGGTCGAACAGCTTATAACCTCTTGTCGAATGATATCATATCAAGATCATCTGATTCGACTTATCATCAAGCTTCCTTCTAAACTGATCTGGCACATGTCTATGTGCTATAGATCTAAACACCTTCAAGTGACTGAGACTAGGCTTAACACCAGACCAACATTCTTCTGGTGTGATTCTTTCAAGCTTCTTCGTCGGACATCTGTTCAATATATATGTGGCTGTCGAAACTGCTTCTCCCCATAATTTTTTAGGTAGATGTTTACCATTCAACATACTTCTCACCATATTCATGATGGTTCTGTTCTTGCGTTCTGCAATCCCATTTTGCTGTGGAGTGTAAGGTGGCACCACCTCATGCACAATCCCTTCTTTTACACATAGTGTATCGAACTCGTTTGATACATACTCTCCACCACCATCAGTCCTCAGAATTTTCAGCTTTCGACCACTCTGTCTTTCGACCATGGACTTGAATCTGGAAAATACCTCAATCACATCACTTTTCTTCTTGATGAGGTAAGTCCAAAGCTTTCGACTATAATCATCTATAAACGTGACAAAGTATCTATTGCCACCAATCGAATCCACCTGGATTGGACCACATACATCAGAGTATATGACTTCAAGTATTGCCTTCGACTTCCTTCCTGCATCCTTGCTGAAGCTATTCTTGTGTTGTTTCGACTGAACACACTCCTCACAGACTTCACTTGGAATGTCGATTTTTGGTAATCCTGAAACCATATTTCTTCTTCAGTTCTCTGATGTCATTAAAGTTGAGATGACCTAGTCGAAAATGCCATAACCACTCATCTCTGCCGGCTGCAGTTGCTAGACATTTGTGCTCCATCACATTGAGTTCAATCTTGAAGGTCCTATTCTAAGACATTGGAGCCTTCAAGATTAATCTACCACCTACGTCGAGAACTCTCATCATCTTGTCTTCGACAACTACCTTGTAGTTCTTTTCGACAAGCTGCCCTATACTGAGCAAATTACTCTTCATGCCTGGTATGTACAACACATTGGAAATTGTTGACCTTTTGCCATCTTTCCTCATAATCAGAACATCACCAACACCCTCGAATGCTAGAGTGTTGTCATTTGCAAACTTCACTGTGTTCTTCGACGAGGGCTTCATGTTGACAAACCAATATTTCCTTCTAATCATGGGTGATGAGCATCCTTAGTCCAAGTACCACTGATCTTGGAATCTTTCTTCATTTTTTGTTGTGACCATTAGCAGCGTTTCTTCTTCTTCATGTTTCGCCAGCTTTGCATCAGTCTCTTGATTTCTCTTCCTTTCTGGACAATCACTAACATAATGGCCATACTTCTGGCAATTGAAACATTGAATGTGGCTTTTGTCTGTCTTTCGACCACCACCTCTTCCTTTACCTACAGCACCACCTCTTTGGTTGCCTTGGTTCCAAGGTTTCTTCTGATTCGACTGGTTTCCTCCTTTGTTGCCATTCCAGCTACCTTTGTCTTTTCTTTCCTTTTCTGACTACGCCTGCAAAGCCATATCTTTCGACTTTCCTGCAGCTCTCTCAGTCATCCTCTGTTCATGAGACTCAAGAGTCCCTTGAAGCTCTTCCTTTGTCAATACTAACAGATTTTTCGACTCTTCTATGGCAACTACCACGTGGTCGAATTTTGGAGCCAACGATCTCAAAATCTTTGAGACAACTGCTTTCGTCGTTAGCGTTTCTCCACATACTTTGATTTGATTCACCAACTTTGTAACTCTGGTGAAGAAATCTGTAATGCTCTCGTTGTCTTCCATCTGAAGCAACTCATAGGTTCTCTTGTGAGTTTGTAACCTCACCTCTTTCACCTTCTCTGCGCCTCCAAACGACTTTTCAAGAATCTCTCATGCTTCTTTTGCCGAATCAACATCACTAACCTTTTCAAAGTTATCAGGATCAACACACTGATGAATTATAAAGAGTGTTTTATAATCCTTCTTCTTCAATTCTTTGTGCGCAACCTTTTCCACCTCCGTTGCGTTCTCCCCAAGCGATGTTACTCCGTCCTTCACAAGATCCCAAAGATCTTGATAACAGAAAATCACATTAATCTGCTTGCACCAATTCTCGTAATTGTCTTTCTTGAGAATTGGCAGGGTCGCCGGAAAGTTGTCATTAGGATAGTTCATCGCCATCACTATCTTCCTTCCTTGAATCTCCCAACCGGAGCTCTAGATACCAAATGTTGGAAATTCACCTCACACCCTATGAAGAATTCCCTTCAATCTTGATCTCAAGATTGATGAACAAACCCACAATATGATAGTAATGGTGATAACAAGTAAAGAGTTATCAAGAACAACAAAAGAGAAGAAGAATAACAAACAAACAAGCAAGAAAGAAAAGAATGAGAGAAGAAATATTTGGAGAAAATTGTGTTACCCACAAACTGTGGGATTTCTGATTACTATTGAACTTTCACTTGCTAAACTCTGCAAATGTGAAATATGTTCTATGTTGAATATAAAGCAAGACACCCTATTTATAGTTTTAGGTTTACAAAAGTGCAAAACATAAAAAGTCCAAATTATTCAAATCAAATCAAATCTAAATCATATCAAGTCAAATCTGTTTCGACACACAATGAATTACATTTAAAACCATATTACATAAAACAGTTTTAAAACCGAACCGAAACTATAACTAAACCGAATTGAAACTGAAACCGAAACCGAACCAAAATTAAAAATAAAAAATATTAAAAATAAGTTTTAAATTTTTTTATAAAAAAATATGAAAAATAGTTTAATTATTTAATTCTTTAATAAATCGTTCGGTTTAAAAAAAATTATCTTTTAACTATTTGTTCGAAACTTTTAAATGATATATGAAACTAATTATTTTAGTTGAGTTCAATTCTAAGTAAACTAAAAAGATTTTCTATTAAATTCAAATAATTCCGTTCTTTTACTAAAATTGAATCGTGAACAACCTAATGCTATTTCACTTGTTTAGATGCTAAATATCATGAGAAACACAAAATAATAATAATATTATTATTATGTGCTCTTAAATAATGAAATGATATTAGTATTTTGTCTAAGATTTCTCAGAATATATCCCTTACTTATAATATTTATGCAAATAAGAACGATGCAATGTAAGGACAATAGTACGCTGCTATTTGTTTCAAATTCCAAGAATAGATTAGAGCATCTTGTTATCTACCTGTTAGAATCGATTAATTTACTAAATACATCGTAAACAAACAATCAATTACACATCAATATACTACAGTTGGAGTAAATTGTAATCTAAGCAATCAATATATACTTAGAAGTAATACTTGTCATCAACATCATATCAAAATCATCATCATAATAGATAAATCGTGCGAGTTTTTAATTATCCCATTTATGAAGAGAAAAAAATGAAATCATTTTCGGCACATCGCCGTAGTAGCCACCGCCTACAATAAGAAATAGCATTACCCAACCTAACCTGTGTGCTAAATGCTAATGCAATGCACAACACGACAATCTCAAGAGACACGTGTCACTTCACAAAGGAAGCCTAATTTGACAATAACCACCGCCCAGCTTAAAATACACGTGGAAAATGGACCACAATTTCGACACTACATTTCCACTTTTACCCTTTGATATATAAAGCATTTTTTATTCTTATTCTCACAACACACTAATGTTCCAGTACTACGCGGAACATGGTAGGTCTTACCTTAAGTCGTTAGAATAAAGCCAGCTAGGATAAACCATTCCCAATAGAAAAATGAAACATATTACGCATGGTAGGACCCACACTTCCATTAACTCAAACCAATTCCTATTATAAATCCGCTTCTTATTCTTATCCCTTCACACTCACCTCACTCACAAAAACAACAGAAACACAGAGAAAAAACCAGAACACTCTAGAAAGAAACATGGAAGCGAAGGAACAGGATGTGTCCTTGGGAGCCAACAAGTTTCCAGAGAGACAGCCACTTGGAATTGCAGCTCAGAGCCAAGACGAGCCAAAAGACTACCAGGAACCACCACCGGCGCCACTTTTTGAGCCCTCGGAGCTGACTTCATGGTCTTTCTACAGAGCCGGCATAGCCGAGTTCATAGCCACTTTCCTTTTCCTTTATATAACCGTTTTAACCGTTATGGGCGTTGTTCGAGAAAGTTCCAAGTGCAAAACAGTTGGTATTCAAGGAATCGCTTGGGCTTTTGGTGGCATGATCTTCGCTCTCGTTTACTGCACCGCTGGAATCTCAGGTATATTTCTATTTTTTTCTTTTGGTTTCTCGCATGCTCGAACATGCACCTTTATATCTGATATTATATCTGCACATCTATTAATTTTTTAAAAAATATAATTATATCATGTAGGGGGTCATATAAATCCGGCTGTGACGTTTGGGCTATTTTTGGCGAGGAAATTGTCGTTGACAAGAGCAATATTCTACATGGTGATGCAAGTGTTGGGTGCTATATGTGGTGCTGGTGTGGTGAAAGGTTTTGAGGGTAAACAAAGGTTTGGAGATCTGAACGGTGGTGCCAACTTTGTTTCTCCTGGTTACACCAAAGGTGATGGACTTGGTGCTGAAATCGTTGGCACTTTTATTCTTGTGTACACAGTTTTCTCAGCCACTGATGCTAAACGTAGCGCCAGAGACTCTCATGTTCCTGTAAGTAGTAAACAAATAATTAAATTTTAATATTATTGAAGTCTATTAGTTTTTACAAGAATTAAATATAATTAATTAATTGTATGGTTAATTTTTCATGAGTAGATTTTGGCTCCGTTGCCAATTGGATTCGCTGTGTTCTTGGTGCATTTGGCAACTATTCCAATTACTGGAACTGGTATTAACCCAGCTAGGAGTCTTGGTGCTGCTATTGTCTTCAACAAGAAAATTGGTTGGAATGATCACGTAAGTTCAAAAATCATTTAAAAAAAAAATCTATTTTTTTATTACAAAATTGTTTATTTAAATTATTATCTGTGGCAGTGGATCTTTTGGGTTGGACCATTTATTGGAGCAGCTCTTGCAGCACTATACCATCAAGTTGTAATCAGAGCCATTCCCTTCAAGTCTAAGTGACCGAATTAAACGGTTCTTGATCAATCATGTCATGTTTGTGGATTTCATTTCATGCAACATGAAATGAAATAATCTTATGTATGATATTTTTCTTGATTTTCAAAAGTTTGTTTTGTAATTTGTATGTAAAGTTGTAATATTTATTATGATTATTAGGTGTAGCATGTGTGTGTTGCGTAATGGATCCAGTGTTATGGGTCCAGCTCTCGTGTGTGATTGTGTATTTTGCCAAATCTAAAATAACACTCGAGTCATCATTTCTGAATTTCTTGTCTCTAGATGCTATTATGTCATTGCTTGAATTTTTGTCATCTTTTCAAGAGTATATGTCATGTTTGGGTTTCTTTGTCCATACTTTCGTTCGCTATCACATGTTAAGGTTTTGAAATTCGAAATCTTTGGAGGGGTCGTGAAGAAAAGGGAGTTGGGTTGGGTGGGGGGCTTTGTTGTTACCTATCACTATATGGGACCCCATCCTCTTCACCAGTAATGGATTTCGTGTGGTAATACTTATAATAACTTTTCATCATAGCCTCGAGAAAAAACTACTACCCTTTTGTAAAGACACATTGAGAAACTAAAGTTGTAAACTTATGGGCCATCCATTCTATATTTAATTTTGATGGTTATAATTTATAACATAGTCCATCCGTGTAAAATTAAACGCACATGGTTAATGTAGTAAAAGCAATGAAGCACTGTATCTTATGATACACCATCAATATGTATCCAAATAGTATCCAATTTTTTTTTTTATTTGAAAAATAAAAATAAAAAATTCTGATACATACCCGGCCAATTTGCTGGTGACGGGTCTTCAATATTTTATAGATGATTAATATTATAAATCAATTTTCTTCATCCTTAATTATTTTTCATTTAACTTTAATAATTTTTTCATTTTCTTTTAATTTTTTGACCAATTATTATCAAATTTTGTAAACTTTTTTGTTAGAGAATTATTTAAATAATGTTTAATTTTAATTTTTTATGTAGTATTTTTAAAATGTTGTATCTTAAAAAAAATTTCAATGAATAACGTACTTCTGTATCAGATACGTATCGTATCTGATATTCATATTGTGTTTAATATTATATTGTATTCGTACTTTTTAGAGTAAAAGTGTAATTTATTACAATATTATTACGTTCGATACTTTTTAGAGTAAAAGTGTAATTTATTACAATATTATATTATTACGTTTGATAATTTATGCGCAAAACTTTTAAACAAAGTCATGTTAAAATGGAGGTAGTATTATTTTTTACCATTATTTATTTTAAAAAATTGTTCCTATGACTCTATGATTGTTGTGTATCTTTTATAACTTCTTTCTTGATGAAGATTGAATTTACTTGGGCAATAATGTAATACTTCACATACTTTTTATTGGGATTTTGGTTTTGGTGCATCCAGTAGGTGTCTTTTATACTATTGATTGTTGGTATATCAAAGAGAGTATAAGTTCAACAGAATAAAAAGCGGGTGTAAAATATTTTATAAGTGAAAAGACTCATAAAATCAATGTCTTAAAGTTTGGGGTTAATATGTAGTGTCCAATTTATTTTAAAACAAGTATTAAAAGCTTAATATGAGAATCTCCGGACCCCCTCATGATCTAACAGTGGTATCATAACTTAGTTCGATTAGGCTTCTTGTATCGTAAATTTTTCTGACAAGGATGTTCAGGGCTTGTTCTGTTGAGGTCATCCAACGGCAGTACAAATGGATATGGATGAAAAAAGCTTCCATTTGAGAGGGAGAATATTCATAAGAATGGATGGACTCACACTTAAGGTGGAGATTGTTGGTATGTCAAGTGTGAGTATGAGTCCTACATTGGATAAAAACAGATGTTAAACACTTTATAAGTGAGAAGATTTATAAACTCAATTATTTAAGGTTTTTGGTTAATATGTGGTGTCTAACTTATTTTAAAATGAGTGTCGAAAATTCAATGTTGTTCTGCACTGGACTGGCAGGTGGCCCACAGTTGGGCAAAATCCGATACAGTCCAGCTTTAGACAAGGGCCAACAAGGAGATTAGCACAATCTAGCCGTTGGGCACAATATGACCGTTGGGCGCAATATAACGCGCTCAACAGTTCACGCGACCAACTGTCCCCCGAAGTTTACGTGGACAGTTGGACCAGGTCAAAGATTACACAGTAGAACCTTAACCTTGCTCCTCGCAAACCTGGCAATCTCTCATTGGTGGACCAGATATCCTGACCCACAATGAGGACCTTGGCCTCACGTTGGGGATTTCTTATAAATACCCTCTCATTTGATAGGGTTAGGTATTTAATTCATTCTAACACAAACCTAAACACTTTGTACTTGCTCTCACTCCCATTCTAATTCTTACTTTAGCATCGGAGCGCCTTGCAGGTACACCCCTTACTCTCCTACAACTATCATTGCTGCCCTACGTCGAAGGCCATGAGGATCGAGTCTGAGCATACCAGATCAGTGGCGTCGTCTACGAGAAACTCTGCTCCTCCGTCTTTCTTGAACCAAGATCCCCAATCTTTTCAACCCAAAGACAAAAACTTTTCTTTCTAAACCTTCCTCGATTGTTATGACCTCTCACCGTAATGATGATGTCCCTCAAGATTATGTCATCATCGTCGCCTTGGATAACGGTGATAGCCCTAATCCTAGAGTTGTGGTCTACGAGACCGATCACAGGGATGGAAAGATTGTCTCTCCATCCTCCGACAACATGAAACCCCGCATCCAGAATTCCAATCACATCTACGATCCCATCCTCGTTCCTTAAGATGTTGATCCCGGCACTGCGGCTCTCATTGCCGCCCTCAACAAATCCAATTACATGATTTTCCAGCAGGACGAGAACATCCACATGCTGAAAAACGTCTTTAAAAAATGACCTCCCTCACGGAGACCTTACAGTCCTTCTCTCTGTTCTCGTTCTCCCCCTCAGAAACGTCGGCGAAACGAGTCTCGAAGTGTTTCTCCAATCAAGGAACGATCAAAATTGGAGAAATCAGGGCAAGAAATCATGAAGAAACGACATCGTACCTCTCCCCAAAGGACAAGACATTCTCCAGCTCCTAAGACCAAGGCTTCAGAGGAACCTCGTGAACGTCCAAGTCAGCGTAAACATTCTCCTCGACATAGCAGAAGCCCTCGTTGTAGTTGTTCTCCATACAGATCATCGAGAAACATTGATGAAGGCGATGTGCATGGGCCTCTATCCCAGGAAATTATGGACACCCGTATCCCTCGCAGGCTGGAGAAATCCCCTCCTCTGGCTCTCTATGATGGTACTACGAGTCCCGGCGACCATATAGAGAACATTGAAGCCATGCTTCATTATCACAACGTAGGCAGAGCAATCAAGTGCTGATTGTTCCCCATCACCCTTAAAAAGGGAGCTATGATCTGGTACAAAAATCTTCCCTGGGGCTCGATCACATCGTGGAGGAACCTAAAAAATCAGTATGCCTAACATTCCACTGCCTTCAGGCGTCATCCCAAGTCAGAAGCCACATTCAAAAGCATAATTCAGGGCAAGGATGATCCCCTTGGTGCCTACATTGAAAGGTTTAACAAGGAAGCATTCGAGATCCACACTACCGACCACATGAAGAAGTACCTCCTCGAAAAGAGGCTAAGGCCAAATTGTGATTTCCGCAAAGTAGTGGGGTTTGAAACACCTCATTCTCTGGCCGAACTCCTCCACAGTGCCCAAGCTTGCATCCAATATGAGGAAAAAGAAGCTGCTTACAAAGCCCGGGATTTGAGGAACCAAGAGAATTCTAAGGCGTCAAAAAAGGATGAGGCAGAAGCTCCCTGGCGTGACAAAGAAAAACGAAGAGATGATTGTCCCTGTGAATATACAGGACATGATAGTTGCTTTACTGAGTATACCTTGCTGACATCTCCCCATGAGCGCATTCTTTCTGAGTGCATCAACATTGAGTTCAAACAAGGAGGAGTCTGTTTCCCTAAACCAACAGCATTGAAGGGCAACACCAACTATAGCAAGTATTGTTTATTTCATCGTAGTCAATGGCACGCTACTGAAGATTGTGTCCACTTGAAGGATGCGATCGAGATCCTCATCAAGGATGGTCATCTGAAGCAATACACGAAAAGAGGCGAAGCTCTTCGAAGGGATGCATCAGCTCACGATTAATCCCTCTGCTCGAGCAGTGGTGTAGACGCAAACAATTCGGCGAGAAGGCCGAAGCTGCAGAAAAAATTGTAAAAGACCTCTTAGAGACAAGATTTATTTCGGAGGCCAGGTACACCACCAGTCTTTCTAACATTGTACTTGTGAAAAAGAATAATGGAAGATGGAGAATGTGTGTCGATTATACTGATCTTAATAGGGCGTGTCCGAAGGACGCGTACGCCCTGCCCAACATTGATAAGTTAGTAGATAATTCTTCCGGTTTCAAACTCTTGTCTTTCATGGATGTATACTTGGGATATAACAAAATTCCCATTAAAGAAAAAGACAAGAGATACACCATTTCCATGTCCTCGTCGGGCAACTATTATTACAATGTAATGCCCTTCGATTTGAAAAACGTTAGGGCCACGTACCAACAAATGATGAACAAGGTCTTCTAATCAGAAATTGGGGACATGCACTTAGCACTCCCCAACGAACTAAAGAATTTGTCCTCCCCATGGCTCTTCGCTTGGTGGGGGATAGACATCCTCGACCCCTTCATGACGGGGTCCTATCAGAAAAAAATTTGATTGTGGTCGTCGATTACTTCACAAAATGGATTGAGGACGAAGCCCTCGACAAGATCACATCATTCAACATGCTTCAATTTTACAAAAGAAACGTCCTCGCACGATTCGGTGTGCCCCAGTCCCTTGTGACCGACAACGGGACCCAGTTCACAGACAGGAATTTTCAAGACTTCGTCACCAAACTAGGCACCAAGCAACACTTCACATTCGTCGAACATCCTCATACCAAGGGGAAAGCAGAGGCCGCGAACATGGTGATCCT